ATTATTTTTTTTAAAAAAAAAAACAACACACAAAACCATGATGATCTCTAATGGTTCTTGTACCCTGGGCCTAGATAATCTGGAAGATAAAGGAGATCAGCCCCTGGCAGCTGGCCCAAAGCATCCCCTTTCCACTCAGGAATGGGTAAGTAAAGCAGGGCTGCACTCCTTCCCACAGGCTGATAACCCTCCCATGGTTCACTCACAGGGGCAATGGCACTTGCTGTCTGCGAGGTGTATGGAGCCAGGGTAGGAAATGAGGTCTTGCTCTGCCTGTCGCCTTCCATTCACAAAGTGATTTCCCCCATGTCACCAGCCACCCTTCCTCGAAGGGTGTGAAGAAGCCAGTGAGACAGAGAGGGCCATCTGCTCTAGACTGCGGAAACCGTGCTAGCAACCGCTATCCCCCTGTAGCCCATGGCCTCAGTGAGTCTCCCTCAGAATTTAAGTGAAGTAGACACTGAAGTCCCACCCCTGGCAGAGCAACCGATGTTGCTTTAGGGAGTAAAGGACCTGAGTCACCACATGCATCCTATGTTATCCAGACACGAATGGCTCTTTCCTAGTGTGACCAACATGTGATGGCTTAAGATCACTTACCAGCTCATCTAGGAAAGAACTTCAGCATAAAGGTGTCGAGGTACAAGGTGGGAAGAGGCTGGGTTGTGGAGGCCTGGCCACCCTGGCCCTATTTCATGTACTGACCCACTTTCCTCACGTGAACCTGGTGGCCCAGATTGAAAGCTCAAGGGCTTTTCGGCCCTTTGGACTTAGGGCTGTTGACCGAAATTCCTGTTGGTTTTAATTGGAGGGCTGGTGTTTCCTCCCAAGTCACAGAGACTTCAAATTCCCATCTCCCTCTACAGCATTTCTGGCACTATTCTCATTTTACATATCCGGATGGAGGAAGCACTGGATTTCACACCTAATTAAAAGAGAGTGTATTGCCTGCTGTTTCCTTTCTTGTTCATTTTCCCTTGTGCACTGGCAGCTTTTTATTCTCATGCTAAGTCCTATCCCGGACCCCCGCAGCTTAAGGGACAGAGCAGCTGGGTTCCTACAAAACAGAGAGCTGGGCCCTCTGTCACCTATTTCAGCGCAAGCAGGCGTTCCCTTTTGTGCTCCCTCCTGTTTCAGCCCCATCCATATTGTGCTCACCCAAGGAACATAGTAACTTAGAATGCACGATCACTTTCAGAGTAGAATTCCTCGCATGTTTCTAGTGAATGCCATCACAGGCTGCCTCTGTATGTGTACTCCAGTGAAAAGGAGACAGGTTATTATTTTAAAACACTCAAAAACTATTTTTATTCACTTTTTTTCACTGACATCATTTCTGTGTTCATACCACTGTGGGGGTTTTAGGTGTGGTGGCCTTCCCAAGTATGCATCATCTTTGTAAAGTTGTACGGTTTTGTAGAGTGTTGAGATTTTTTTCTTTTTTCTTTTTTTTTTTTTTTTTTTTGAATAGCCCAAATGCCTATTCAGTGCCAATCTAGGAAAGAATGGAGTCAGCATTTTCACACCATTCCTCCTTATACAGTCCCTGAATAATCATCTAATCAAGATTTGTTTTCAATGGGGACAAATCTTCTACAGTAGAGTATTTCAGATTTATTCCATTAGAATCTATACATTATTGCCCATTGGATGAAAAGGACATGTTTCACAAAAGCCTGGACCTTGCTTTGCTGTGGCAGAAACTTTTTCCCACTGTACTAAAGTTAAAAAATAAAAGAAAGCCTGGGAAAGGAATTGCTTCAGCATTGTGTGCTGGAGAAATGAGGCACACTTGAAAGGAGAGGCAGGGCATCTGTTCCCATTTCAGCAAACCCTCTCAGCCCTTCATGGCTGCTCGCTGCCATGCAGGACCGTGCACTAGAGAGATGTTTGGAAAGGTTTCCTGTAAAAACCCAAAGAGGCTTGTCAGGTTGTATATGAGGGCAGGTTTGAGTTTGTCTCTGTGGTTTTTAATGAAGATGGTGACACCATTATTACTGCAATAATCAGAACTCAGGCCATTTAACAGATATTGTGTGTGTGATTACCTCTCCAGTATTACCTGATTGTTTAGATAGACTCAACCACTAAAGTCAAACAAGCAGTTTGAATTTTCCTGATGAAACTGTGTGTGTGTGTGTGTGTGTGTGTGTGTGTGTGTGATATAATGATAGTTTTTGCTGTTAACCATTTCCATCTCTAAAGTAACCTCCTTCATCCCTTTCATTGTCTATTTCTTCTTCTTTGTACTGAGAACTAGGACAGCCCTCGATCTTTGGGCAATTCAAGTTTTTAATATAATAATGGGCCAGGCTGCCCTCAGCCTCCATGTAGCTGACTGTTGAATTCTACTGGGAGCTGTTTGATACTTCCCTCAGAGATAGTGACTTTTTCAGAGACTCAAATAGTTTCAGTGGTTATGGTTTTCCTTAAATGAAAAGAGACCTTGGCAATGTTAACATTGTATTTAGAAAACTCTACCTACATGTTAGTGCCAAGACAAGTTGTTTCACTTCTTGAATTTTTTCATTTATAAACTTAAATATATGTTCTTTATTAGCTAACTGAAGCTATATTGAAGTCCCAAGATTTCAACAAAGATGAATGCCATGCTGATTCAAAGAGATGTATAGAAATAGCTGGAGGGCATGCTAAACAAACCTTTTCACACACCTTTACAGCAGCAGTGGACACCAAAGGGCCAGATCTCATTCAGAGGCCAAGCGTGCAAAAAATAGTTAAGGAGATAAGAGCATGAACTCTAGTACTAGACTGCCTGGGCTCAAATGTTACCTACTGCTTGTTTTACCTTGAGCAAATTTCTTTTTTTGTTTTGTTTTGTTTTGTTTTGTTTTGTTTTGTTTTGTTCAAAAGGGCTGACTTTCAATAGATTGCAGCAAGGGAGCTGCTCTGCTACTTATGAAACCCTGACCCAGAATCAGGTGGTTTACAAATGGTTTAGCACCAGTTGAGCAAATTTCTTAATTTCTCTGGCCTGCTTTCATAATCTGAAAAAAAAATGGAGCTAATAATACTACCTGTGTCATAGGGTTCTTCTGAAGATTAAATAAAATAATATACATATAATAGTTATACCAGTAGATGGATTTCACACAAGGTAATCTCTATAAAAGTAAATAAAAGTTTGCTCTTATTATTATCATGGTACAAATGCATGAGCAGGGGGAGGGAGGTGTCTCAGAAAGAGTCTAGAGTTTGGTCGGCTGATTTTTCTCCTGAATATTTCTTCTTGGGTTATTGGAGCCTCCCTCTGGGGCCATATTTATATTAACACAATTATAGAGGATTTGCCATGATTCTTTAATCTGGCAAAGATAATGTGTTTTACATGAGTGGAAAAAAAAATAATAACAGTATCCTAATGAACTATTTTAGGAAGGAGTAGACCCAATGGAAGTTGAAACAAGAAGCAATTCTCTTCTGTAAAAATTTGTGCAAGTCTTATCACTGAGAGCGAACAAAGAGCCTGTCGACATTTATTACATTAAGTGGATATGTGTGAGGCTGACTAAATGTAAAAATGGACACCAAAGAAATGAATGGCGATATAAAAAGATGTAGTCCCACGAGCAAGGACAGCTCGTGGGACAGCATGAGGAGATTGAGTGAGGCAAGATGGAACTTCTAGCTGAGCTCAGACGTCCCTGTGCAAGTCCTCTCTCTTAAGGTAGAGGGAAAAGACTCTGAGGAGCTCTGTCTGCAGGCTATTACCTCTGGAGTTCTATCCAACAAGACACAGTGAGCTGGGTCACAGGCCAACAGTCAATAGTACTTGTGCCACCTGGTTTTGAAAGCCCACTTACATGGTCTCCCTCTCTCAAGCTGTGTATTCAATCAGGAAGAAAGAATGGGGAATCTGATTGAAGAGTGGTTTGGAGACTGGATCTGTAGAGCCATTTGAGAGGTAATGGAGAAAAAGAAAGAAGCCCTAAGGCTTATTGTTATAGCCACTTGTTTTCTTTCTCGATCTACGACCCAAATTTCACTAACATTATCCCTCATCTGCACAGCCCCGGGGCATAAAGATGGTGATGAGTCAGGCTGCCCACTGTCTCTCAGAGCTGACCATTACTTCCTACCAGGAGTGTTTGATTTCCCTCCAGCAAGTACCTGGAGCACCCAGTTACCTAGGTTGTTCAGACATCCCACTCCTGGTTCAGTCCTGCTATCCAAACTTATTATTAACAGTGTTCCTTTCACTCTCCCAGTGCCCGGATGGAATGGTAAATATGATCATCGAGTGTAGGCCAGTCTTCCAGATCAATGTTGCCATCTCTGTCTGACCTTTTCAACACTCCTTCCTCATTAAGCCTCAGAAAATTCAGAAAATCATCACATTGCATACAGCCACCCTGGAAAGTTCTGTCTGTCAGAGATGACAAGAAAAAGGTCATCGTTAGAATGCTCTATAGCTATAGAAAGTAACAGCCAAATGCCCCTGAAGCTGGCAGGTTGCATTTTATAACTCATCCTTCTATTGGAAAATGTGGTAGCAGCTGTTGGGTGAACATCTTAGTCTGGGTTGACTTTTCCAGGAATCTTTGTATACATGATGTGGGTTTGGGGACTATGCCACATAAATTAATAGCAAGGAAATTAATTTTTTTTACTATGAATATTGTTGTAGTTTATGAAAAAAATAAGGAAGTTCGGTAAGTTAGGGGAAATATAAGCTTACTTGGGCCTGTCCAAAGTAGTACTGTTCCTGGAGAATAAGTCTTCCAGTTCTTAGTTGGATTCAATACCTCAAAATAGCTGGGGCACTGTGGGGACACAATTCAGGGACTTCTTCCCAGAGGACATCATACCTGAAGCGTGACCTCTGTGCAAATCCTGCCCATCTCTCACAGAGCCCTTTTGTGTCTGCCAAGCGGGTGCTTCTAGGAGCCATGAGCAGTTCCCACCTGAGACCCCGGAGTCAGGAAGGCCGTCAGCTAGCTCTGACCCACGCTCTGTTTTGTGTCTGTCTTGCCACGCAGGTGACATCAGTTGCAAGGGGATGACCGAGCGCATTCACAGCATCAACCTTCACAACTTCAGCAATTCCGTGCTCGAGACCCTCAACGAGCAGCGCAACCGTGGCCACTTCTGTGACGTGACGGTGCGCATCCACGGGAGCATGCTGCGCGCACACCGCTGCGTGCTGGCTGCCGGCAGCCCCTTCTTCCAGGACAAGCTGCTGCTGGGCTACAGCGACATCGAGATCCCGTCCGTGGTGTCGGTGCAGTCGGTGCAAAAGCTCATTGACTTCATGTACAGCGGTGTGCTGCGCGTCTCCCAGTCGGAAGCCCTGCAGATCCTCACGGCCGCCAGCATCCTGCAGATCAAAACAGTCATCGATGAGTGCACGCGCATCGTGTCCCAGAATGTGGGCGACGTGTTCCCGGGGATCCAGGACTCGGGCCAGGACACCCCGCGGGGCACGCCCGAGTCAGGCACCTCGGGTCAGAGCAGCGACACGGAGTCCGGCTACCTGCAGAGCCACTCCCAGCACAGCGTGGACAGGATCTACTCGGCGCTCTATGCGTGCTCCATGCAGAACGGCAGCGGCGAGCGCTCCTTCTACAGCGGCGCAGTGGTCAGCCACCACGAGACGGCGCTGGGCCTGCCCCGCGACCACCACATGGAAGACCCCAGCTGGATCACGCGCATCCACGAGCGCTCGCAGCAGATGGAGCGCTACCTGTCCACCACCCCGGAGACCACGCACTGCCGCAAGCAGCCCCGGCCTGTGCGCATCCAGACCCTGGTCGGCAATATCCACATCAAGCAGGAGATGGAGGACGATTATGACTACTACGGACAGCAAAGGGTGCAGATTCTGGAGCGCAATGAGTCCGAGGAGTGCACCGAAGACACCGACCAGGCCGAGGGCACCGAGAGTGAGCCCAAGGGTGAAAGCTTCGACTCGGGTGTCAGCTCCTCCATAGGCACCGAGCCCGACTCCGTAGAGCAGCAGTTCGGGGCTGGGGCAGCGCGGGAAGGCCAGGCTGAGCCCGCCCAACCTGAGCAGGCTGCCGAAGCCCCTGCAGAAGGAGGTGCGCAGCCACACCAGCTAGAGACAGGCGCCTCCTCTCCAGAAAGAAGCAATGAGGCGGAGATGGACAGCACGGTCATCACTGTTAGCAACAGCTCCGACAAGAGCATCCTGCAGCAGCCTTCGGTCAACACGTCAATCGGGCAGCCATTGCCAGGTACCCAGCTCTACTTACGCCAGACAGAAACCCTCACCAGCAACTTGAGGATGCCTCTGACCTTAACCAGCAACACACAGGTCATTGGCACAGCCGGCAACACCTACCTGCCGGCCCTCTTCACTACCCAGCCCGCAGGCAGCGGCCCCAAGCCTTTCCTCTTCAGCCTGCCACAACCACTGACAGGTCAGCAGACCCAGTTTGTGACAGTGTCCCAGCCCGGCCTGTCCACCTTTACTGCACAGCTGCCAGCGCCGCAGCCCCTGGCCCCATCTGCAGGCCACAGCACAGCCAGTGGGCAGGGCGAAAAAAAGCCTTACGAGTGCACTCTCTGCAACAAGACTTTCACCGCCAAACAGAACTACGTCAAGCACATGTTTGTCCACACAGGTGAGTGCAGGCCCCCGGGAATCTGGCCGTGGGCGGGTGTGAAGGGACGGTGGGAAGGGAGGGACAGAACAGCAGGTAGAAGGGAAGTATTTGGAATCACATTTCAGATTTTTAAGAAGATGCCACTATAAGCCATCCTTTAGAAGTCCCAAATGTGCCCCCATCACAGGAACAAAGCATCCTGCCACCAAAAGACAAAATCACAGAAACCCTTATGGAGAAAGGCTGCAGGGGGAAAAACCTGATAAAGAATTTATAGGCACAACATCCTTTAAATACACTGAACTTTGACTCAAGATGCTTATAACTGGAAAAGTCCTTGGAGATCCTATACTTCAGTAGTCTCATTTTACAGACAAAATCATTAGGTAGAGCAGGAATGAGGGTTCTAGTCTGCAGGAAATTCTATATGAACCATTAGCTTGAAGAGGCCACAGCAAGGCCGATGCAGGCTTAAGCTGCATTTGTGGTCCTTGAAATGAAGAGGAGTGATAGACTCACTCTATTTTCTATTGCTTATTCTCCATTTCAACATCTAAGACCACAGTCTGTTCTGGGTACTACCTTTTGATAGGACAATAGACTAATTCAAAGCAGTGTTACTGGGGACACAAAACCTTAGCATATGAATCACAGTTGGAAGGACTAGGATGCTCAGACTGCAGAAGGCTTAGGACATCATATAAGCCATCCTCAGTCCAGCTTCAGACACAGCATAATGAGGTAGTTAAGCTGAAGCTTTGGAGCCAGATTGCTTCAGTTTGAATTTAGATTTAGTGTCTACTGAACTTGTCACCCTCGGAAAATTACTTAACCTTTCTATACACCAGAGTCCTTGTCAATATCATGGCAATAGTAGTGATAGATATTTAATTTAGTGCTGTTTTTAGGGTCAAATGAATTCATCTGTAATGCAGTTATTAAAAATCATTCCTAACCCGTAAGCACTCTATAAGTGATAGCTGTTGTTTGCACTATTATGTAAGTGGTTGGGAGGGAAGAGAGGAAGCTTGTTTTGTTTGGGGCCAAAAGATAGAAATGGACCAATGACTGGAAACAATAAGGAGATTCTTTCCACAAAATAATATGGCTGTTGACAGTCAGAGCCACTCTAAGATGGGTTAGACAGCATCCAGAGGGAATGAGTTCCTACAATTATTAGATGTGTACAAGGAGAGAATGGATGATCATTTCCTAAGGATGTTGTAAAAGCGATTCAATCATCGGGTGAGTAGTGGGACAAGATGGTATTTCATCCCTGGATCCTGATTCTAGAGCTAAGATCTGGCCTCCCAGCTAGTGCTCTTTCCTAGCTCCATAATGGGACAGACACAGAAGCAAGAACCATTAATATCTTCAATATTAGGGACCATATATGTGATAAGATTTCTCATATAGTCTCTTATCCCTAAAAATACCTTTTCCAACCATGATCACTATTTTTGAAATTCTGCTTATGAGAATCCTCTTCTGGTAAACCTGTGGTTCCAGAATATCCCTGTTAAATGATAAATATATTGCCAGAGAAAAGTTACACATTGAATTACATACAATACATGAAATCAAATTAGTTTCTCAAAGCAACCTTATTTCTCAGATCAGCTAGCAAGAATAACCAGAGCAACAGACACAGAAAAGGTGCATAACAAGGAAGAGAGCAGCTACACTAGAGCATTAAAGTGAACTTTTTCACTTCTGCAGTTCGACTTAAGTCAGGACATCATGTACGGACCTTTATGTAAATGAGTTGTTTTTAAAGGTGACAGTTTTCACACCTCCTAAAGAACATACTGATGCACTGCTGAATTTAGGGAGAAAATCAGGTAGTGGTGAATCATGGTATTTACTTGGGGTAAATGTGAATGCACTAATATCCTGAGATCAACCAAAGAAATTTTTCATGTGGTACAGGTATCATCATTATTTGGTAAATTAATCAAATAGTAATATTTTTATTTATGTGGCAATTTATGGTTTACAGTGTACTCTCACATAGTTTATGTTCTTTCCTTTTCTAAATAGCTGTCTTATAAACCATAAAACTAAGGATTAAGGGCAAAAAGAAACCATTTGTGGAAGTTTCTTCTTAGCCAAACTTGACTTTGCTGGTCTTGAATAAACATTTCGATTCTCTCCTTCTGTGTGTCTCTTCCAGTAGACATAGCAGAGATGAAATTCACACATTCTAGTAGATCACATATTGAAATAAGGCTTTAAATTTGCAACATAAAAATTTTAGTGTACTACCAAAAATTGTCTTTTCGATGCATAAACACATTTATCCAATGGATTCACCAGAGGATTCTGTGGTTAACCCAAATAACTAGATTTGCCCATAAAAAAACAAGCAATGGGTTTGCACATTTATGCATCATAGGTTCAAAAGCTACAAGTAAAATCATTTTATAAATCTAAGTAATGCTTAAAGTATAGCCTTTGGATATGTAGTAGTCTATGAGAGTCTCCAGTAAATTATGAAGGTGTTTGTGTTGTTGTGTATAACTTGGCCTCATCTGAGAACAATTAATAATGTTCATATTCACTCTAGCACCTCATTTAAAAGAAACAACACTCTTCTCTTTCATCCCAGAATTATTTGGCATGTCAGTTTGCAAGGACCATCTATCTATCAAGACTTTGTCTCACTGAAGGAGAGAGACCATAACCTAACTAACAAAGTTTAAGAATAAGTGGTCTAGATTTTCAAAAGACAAGACAGATCTATGGAAGTACTGCAGGACCTGGGATCCCTGTGGCCCACATCTTAAAACAAAGTTCTTTTAAATTTCTTGGGAAAACATCACAAAAGTTGGGCCTCCCAACTTCACAGAAGCCCAGTAGAAATGATAAAAATTTTAGAGCAAAAGGTCCAAATGTTGGTCTAGAAGGACTCCAGAAAATACTGGGGATACTTGGCAGAATAGGAATGGATTCGGTGTTCTTACCTATAGTCTAACCAAAAAGAATCCTGCCAATAAACAGTATTAACAGAGCTCAACGAGAAGCAATGTGGGCCCTTGGCACCACAACTCTGTGCATGGTAACTGGCTTTGCATTTCAGTAGCTCCAAGGTTTAGTGTAAGTGATACTTGCTTTCAACGACTGCAGAAAATCAATTTTGAAATTGGATTCCAAGTAAAATTCTGTGTAGCTGTATGTTAATGATCCACATATTCATTGAAGTGTTTGAGACAAATAAGTAGTGTATGGTATTTACTTTGGAGTAAAGCTCTACCTTAGAGAACCAAGGAAATCCTGGTTATAAAGCATATTCCAAAATGATTATAATACTAAAACATAGAGTGAGGACATAAGTGAAAGATGATTGCACTGGAATTAGATTATTTGGGTTGAGTTTGGTTTCTCTAATTGTGGCCTTACGCAAGCCACTTAATTTCATAACCCTCAGTTTCTTTGAGTTTAAAATGGAAATAATAATTTGCCTGCCATTTGAGTAGCTGTAAAGGTATGATGCATGGGAGAGCTTTTCATGAAAGGTAAAGTACTACTTAATGTTTAAAAAGATTATCATCATTATTACTTTATCCCCTCCTCCCAGGAGACATTAAGTTTCTTTGCTCTGTATCCAACCTCTGAATAATAAGCTCTCGACATGTTTCCTTCTTCCGTGGAATTCAAATGCTGAGGCAATGTGATACTCCTTGGGTTTCCCTTGAACTGCCTTCATAAAATGAACATTTTTTCCCCTGATTTATTAAGGGTTATTTTATGAGTAAAAGAAAATCTCTCACCTAATTGCTCTTTCTTCTGCCAATCAAACCATAGTAGGACTTCATTTCTTCTAGGAGTTCCTCATTTTACAGCATCTTTAAAAATATGTGAGGAAAGACACCAAGAGTTAAAAGAGAGAGAGAGAGAGAGAGAGAGAGAGAGAGAGAAAGATAACACAAAACATTCTTCAGAGAGAGAGAGAGAGAGAGAGAGAGAGAGAGATAACACAAAACATTCTTCCATGGAACAAAGCAGGACTCCTCTATGCTTCCTCCCAAGAGAAAAAACACACACAAAAGTCAGAGGAATGGGAATGGAAAGGAAAGACAGGGGACATGGAAGTGTCAGTGTGGATTGGAAGGCAAGCAACAGGGAAAATTCAAGGATAACTTTGGTTCTGGAAGTGTGAGCCCATGCCAGCCACATGCAAGTTCTCTGGTCCAACCCATATCTACATCAGAACTTCTGGGAATGGAACCCAGAATCTGTTTTAATAAGCCCTGCATCACAAGTTCAGAATCACTTCCCTAGGTGGTCTAGGGGTGATCAAGAGGCTGACATCTGGATGCTTTTGTTACACAGTATTGTTCTCTAAAATACTACTCATAAGAATCCATGTGTTTGAAAAAAGTAACATGGAGTTATGGATAGCAGCTTGACTTCATTATGTAAGTAGATATCTCTCATATGAGAGGTAAGCTAAGTTTCTCAAACTGCTCAGGTACCGTGGCACAAGTACTCCTTCTGCCACATAACAGACTGACCTGTTTCTCTGTTATGTGGGTGTCTTTACACCTTCCCACTAGAATGTAAACTCTGTGAGAACAAAACATAATACCTTATCTATAATAAGGTTCTGTGAGAACAAAAGTATCTTATACTTCAAATATACTCAGCATAATACCTTATCTATAATAATCTATAATAATAAAAGCATAATATGCTAATTAGACTGGACATCCTTCCAGGACAACCTTCCAGATGAATCTGGGGCTTTGAGGGAAGCCTGGGTCCCAAGTGCTAGAGAGAAGCTGGTGCTGGCAGCTGGAGAAAGAAAGGTCTACTCTTGCACAGATTTCATGCATTGAGCCTCTAGTAGGCAATAAAAATTCAACAAATATTGATCAATGAATGAATCAAATTCTTCTCTGATAATGTCTAATCATTTCCAAGAGGCCCAGTGCATGAAATTCGTGCACGGGTTGGTGTGTCCCTCAGCCCAACCTGCACCCTCTCCAATCTGGGACCCCTCGAGGGATGTCCAACTG